CTGAGAGCAAACGAACATGAGCAAACTTTGCTCATGTTCGTTTGGGCATGTGGAAGCTGTGGAAGGCTGGAGAGCCGCACTCCTTCATTTGTATGGATGCATACACTTATCTCATTGGCGCGCTGCTTCTGTATCGTATCTCCGCCAACCAGTAGTGTGCTGCCAAGCCCCCCAGATATCTTTAGATTTCGTCAACATCCAGAAACACGTGTACTGTACAAGATAAAACGAAACCGCCGCGATCCTTTCCTATTGATAAAATTACCCCCCCTCTCCCCCCCTTCCTACCTCCGTACATTAGTACAATTGCCTCCTGTGCCGATGTACCGTACTACGGTATTACCCAGGGTACCCAATCGTAGGGTACTGGGCGTGGGGGACGTTTTCCACAGTCGTCGTCCTTGACCACCACTGCATCCCTCCCGCTTGCCCCACACCCTCCCCGTCCAATGCTCCGCCGCCGCCGTCTCCCACCATCCCCTCCCCCTTCCCCGCCCCTGACCCCCTCGGGCCACCCTCGCAACCAGCCACCCCATCTCTCGCCCCTCGCACGCGCCCTACTCACTCTCTACCTCTCCTTCGCCTTCTCGTTCACCCTGTGCGCCCTCCACCGCCACTTGACATCCCCGGCCCTTGGCCCGCACATCCCCCCCCTCCCTCGCGGTTTCTGGCGCACCATCCCGCACCTCTCCCCGCGCACGCCCGCCAAGCTGCGCCCCGCCCTGCCGCCGCTCCGATCGCAGATCCCTGCCGAGCACACCGATCGGGAACCCGTCAACGATTTGCCGCACGTGTGCGCTGCACGCGTTGCGGCTGGCGAGAAGAGGGAACTCCTCGACGGCGCCTGCGAGTACGCGAGGTGGGCGTACACGGATGATCCTAGAGACCTGCAGCCCCCGCTCGTTGAGTGCCCGCCGCATCTCGAGTCCCCCGTCGTTAGCGTTCACATAGATCCGGTCTGAGCCTTGCCTGTCTTCATGTGCCCCTGCTTGCTGTTGTTTTCGCCTTGATCGCTAGTGGCGGGCCGTATTGCCGCTATCCGGATAAAGACTGTTTCGTGCGGGTCGCACTACTTACACAAGTTTACGCCACGCAGGTGGCGGAAAGAACACTTTGAGGTGCTCGCAGTGCGATTATCAGGTAACAATCATCGCCGGGCCCCTGCGTGTGCACGGCACAAGTTTTTGGCTTGGACGGTCTAGCTTTTACATAAGGGCAAACCTCATCTACGACCACCGAAGTGCCAGCAGCTTTTTCCGCAATCGTATTCGCTTCTGGCTCACATCCCCGGACAAAATTGCCATGGCGTCCAACTCCTTGAGGAGCTTCCTCTGTGCATCCGCATCCACTGCATGCGATTCCGATAAAGCAATATCCGCCAGCAAGCTTAGCGTTGCTACATTCGGCTCTGTGATGCGATCCATCTGCATCAGTTGAAACACCTCGAACGAGTACCATGGTTCCCCGCATTTCCACGCCGCGTCAATCATCGAGTTGTACGTCCCAACGGTTGCCATCGGGAATTCGTATTCGCTGTCAAACATTCCGGTTGATGCTAACGCGGCTAGTCGTGCCCGACCTCCGCCATCCTCATCTGGTCGCCTGTTTCCACCTGGCGGTTCGCTACTCATCCCAACATCTTGCTGGGCCTCATCGACGCCTCCTAGGATGTCCTTAGAGAAATAAACCACTCCTTGATTGTTTCTGTTACTCATCTTGTTAAAGATCTGCAAAGCAAGTTCAAAATCGTTAATAGCCGCTGCAGCCGCTATCATTGTGTTGTACACGTATGCCGCTTGCCGTATGGCCCTCCCCTCTCCATTTGCGTGCATCTCTCTGAGGAGTTCCACTGCAATGCGCACCGCTTCGTTGGCTTCTACGTTCCCAGATGGAACACGATCCTGCCGGCCATCCTCGGACTGCTCAAATGACTGTGCTGCTTCGTGTCGACCTCTATCCGAAGATGAATTCTCGGCAGGTGCCAAGGTATGACTGTTTGGAGTCCAGTCACCCAGACTTTTGTCATTTTCGTTTTCGATGTCCGCATGAAACGCCTCGGTCACGCCTCTGAATCGCACATATGAACATAATCCATGAATTAGGCTTTCGTAAACCTCAAAATTGGGTTTTAATCCGGCACCCCTCACCGAGTCAAAGACTTCGAGGGCTCGTCCAGGGGCATGGCATTGGAGACAGACTTGCATCAACACTGTGGCGACATACAAAGGGGCGAGATTTCCGACAGTATTACGATGCGAGGCGAGTGGTAAATCCAGCGCCTCAAACGCCTTCGACAAATCTCCAACTTTTCCGCATGCGCTGATGAGGGCCATGCGAATAGCTTCGTGACTTCCGACATCACCGAAAACCAAGGCATCTCCAAATTCTTCAGACACACGCGTTGCTTCGGTAAATGCAGCATCTGTGCCTTTCAGTTTCGCAATAGTTTCCAAATACGACTTGCAGAAGCCATAGTTGGGCCGCTCTCCTGCTTGCACTAAGGAAGCAAATATGTCCTCTGCCAGCTCCAGGTCTGGAATATTCGCGGCACCTTGCATAAGGTGACTAAAAGTTATTCGGTTTGGGGAATCCATGCCGCGATACAGTTCCAAAGCCTCCTTCATCTGATGACGAAAGACAAGACTCCGAATAAGAGTATTGTATGTAACAGTTGTCGGCGCAATCCCCTGAGCTTTCATCTGATCAACAACAACTAGGGCTCGGTCCGCCGCAACATCACGATCCTCTGTCCCCGTTCCTGCAGACAGACCTCGCAGCAAGAGATTATATGTCTGCGCGTTTGGTCCGGGAAATCCAGTTTCGTTCGTCCTTGACATTCTCCCAACAAATTCCAGAGCCGAGTCGTGAAGCCGCAATGCCGCGCACTGCTTGACAAAGGCATTACAGCTTAGTACAGTTAAAAAGCCACTTCCATACATGGATATGAGAGATTCAGCCTTCGATATCCTGTTGGATGCGACGTAGGACCGAAACAATGCACTCAAAACCATGTCTGAAGATCTGTGGGCACTACTATAGCCACTGAAGTATAACTGTTCAGCCTCCCCCGAACGTCCGCACTTCCCTAAACACAATATAAATGCTGCTGTGGCATCCACACTAGAGAGCGAGGCCCCATCGCCACCTGCTGGAAAAATTGCAGGGTCGTTGATCTGCTCCCTTATGCTTTTCGCCAATTCTATATCTTTGCACTCTCCGCATATGCGATACATCAGAGCAGTGTTGCGCGGGTCTACCCTCTTCACTGTCTGCAGCATTTCTGCCCACACGCTTTTTGCAACCTTTAAGATTACGTCTCTTTTCACAGAGGAGTTATCAGAAACTCTTCCTGCCTCTCGAGCACAAGCTGTGAGCAGAATGTTGAACGCAGCCTTCGGTTTTGAAGACGGAGACTTCCAGAGTGCGTTAACCATAGCTTCCAGACGTTCCCGCGGACCCTTGAATTCGTCCGTGTTAAGGAGCACGAGAAGCAACTCGATCAAGTCAGCTTCGTGCCTACTTCTATGCGCACCGGCTCGAAGTAAGACCTTGTGAGCGGCTCGCGCATCTCCAGCAAAGCGGAGGTCACGAGAACGAGACCGGGGATGCTGCAACCCCTTTTGCGGTACCATGGAGACCCATGACTTGCCTTCCTTAACTGACATGCCATCCCCGAGACGCAAATGGAGACCGTGGGGTGTTCCAACGGCTGACGAACTAAATGACCTGGAGCGCAAACGCGCTGCGCGAAGAGCTACATGAGTAGCATGGCGCAGCATACTGAAGAAATGCTATTGCCAGCAGCATCGCATTACGGGGCAGATGGTCAATAACCGTGGAGAGTCGCGTTGCGTCCCAGTAACAAGCTGGTGATCCGTGGTTGGAGGATTGACTTGGAGAATAGAGAGCTGTGCAACTGGGACCAGGCACAGCAGCGCGGCGGATAGTTGTCCGAACACGCAGGAGCGGACAAGGTCACCTGTACGGTAGATCGCAGATCGATGAAAGGCTCTCCTCGGAGAAGAAAGAAGCCTGGTGACTGAGGGCATTGACAAAAGTTTCGGAGATCTTCGAATGACGTTACTTCTAAGGTCTCATGGCAGTCTAGGACACGTTTTTTGTACCAAATTTCTAATTCTTCAGTTTTCGGGGCAATGCGCTGTGGACGTGACGCCATCAATTGCGCCGCCACAAAGCAGACTGACATGGCATTTGACATCCACTTCGCAGTCGATGAGGACACCCCTGGTCATGACGGAAGTCAAGCTTTTAGAAGTACGTTGAACAGCAGCGCAGCTACAATGCGGCATCCCTTTGAATGGCAAGGCTTACACTTGCAAACAAAACACGACTTCGTGGGTTGGACCCAGCGATTCTTACAACGAGAGGTTCCTGACAACCTCACCAATACAACAAGCGATGCCTACGCCTGATTGCATCACATTCCTCTCAGATTAGGTCAGACCGTGGAATGGGGCTCTGCACAGGCACAAGACTCGATGTGAGCATACAATTTTTTCATGGAGGAACCGTTAGAGTACGTATCTCAAGGCAAAAAATCTGGCCTCCAGAAATCACGCGCAGGTTGAGCGCATACTTTATCTTACTTTTCAAAAAGGCGCTCTAAAACTATATGGTGATCTCAGACTAACTTGAGGCTGCTCATCATCCTGTCGGCAAGCGGTCGCAATTCATCCCAACTTTGCTTCGGCATTGTTATGATACAAGCTATCGCTGATTCCCCATCTTTAGAAGGGAGGCATCTCGACAATCCAAAGCGAACGACGGAGTCACCATCTGGCATTTCAGTTGTCGCTTCGAATCGAAAGAGCAACGTATTATCCGGCTCGAACGCCGCTTCCTTAATGACAATCATAGCACCTTCCTTTTCTATGCGGTCCCTTACCATCTCGTACGCCGCCCCATATGGGTCCGGTTTCGGGCTTAATCTGACCGGCTTCTTGGAGAGCGTCGCTGCAATAACTTGCTTCAAGTTCAGCAACACCAACTTTCCACCGCGTTCCGATCGATACCACCCAACTGGATAGTCGATTGAAAGCCCAAGCGAGTCAGAAACACAGTTTTCCATCTGATCATCAAATGCCAATACCTGCGCCAAAGGAGGAAATAGCAGAAGTCCCGAACATGCGGCAATGCCATGCAAAACCGCCCTTCTCGAAAATGACGTATGAACCAGTGACCTTTGGGGTGCATGCTGGCGATCACGCCCTGTCATACGGAAGTCGCATTTCGTGCAGTAATCTGAGCCCGACCGACGGAATACGGCGGTCGATGGGGTAAAGCTGGATACCCACGCAGCCAGTGCACCTGGCCCTCTCTCTGACAAAGAGCCTGAATTCACGTTTTTGCAGTATGACGCTAGCACCATACTGAAGAGTGGCACCTTTGTAGGTAGTATTGAACTATAACAAAGCAAATCACGGTAGACGTCTGCTATTGATTCAGTTTGGGCAGTCCAAGAAAAACTAAACGCTGTGAAACGAGTAGAAGGAATAGCCTATGAGCTAGACAAACCTTTCGATGGCCGGCTTGGGTTAAAAACCTCTTTTTCTTCCACGGTGCGGCTTGACGCCCATTTGCGATCGCACCACCTAGTAGCTGGCAGAAGGCAACGCCTGTCCCTATTCTTCTCAACGGATGCAGCTGGTCTGTTGCTGACACTTATGCGAGGATCGACCTTTCAGTCGCTCACCAAGCAGCGTCGAGGTCTACCCTTCGTTTCAGGAGGGAGTTCAGTTAATAATTGGCGTATCGGCATGTGCATCGGCGTGTGCATCGGCGTGGTAGTTGAGCTTCATTCGGAAGCATTGAAAGCACCGATCTCAAAGATCGAGATTGAGTCCGCATTCTTACAGTATTTATTAAATGTAATGCCACGGCGCTCCTTCAGTGCCTTCTTTAACAAACAATTTTGTTGGGCGGTCTCATCCTTGACGGAACATGGACAGCACCAAATACTGTATGTCGCCCCGAATCAACAATGCTTTCATTACAGGGGGGTCGCGATATAAGAGCACTTTGATTTGACTTTGATTATGAAGAACGACCTCGCAGTAAGAGCACCATTTTCGCTTGGCACGGTATCATAACTTCAAGCACCATCAAACACTGTAATTCCAATCACACAGGCCCTTTCTCGGCTGGTATTTCAAACGCATCTCAGAAGTCGCGCCCACAGTCCCGTCTGTTCCATTTCTCCGACGCACGGATCAATACGGTGCTCCGAAATGACCTCTCACTTTCCACCGGTGGCTCACGGCTCGCTGAAGAGGCGCAAGCGCCTTTCGTTGAAAGAGAAAGCGAGGCTGCGCGTTGTCTTCAAAATGGCGCAAGCGCCTCTTCTGTGATGAAGCGTTTTGGAATTGGTCGCAGCACGGGTCCAGGCACCTGCTTATTGGTGAGATGCTACAGCGTTCGAAGGAGTAAAATGGGCATCCTGTGCGGGATTCTTGAATAGTAGCAACCTCGGATTAAGAGGAGTATGAAGGGGTTGGCACGGGGTGCTCTTATATCGTAGTCACTACTGCACCCCTTTTTATGAGCCGCTTTTCTTAGGAGCGCTAGAGTGATGAAGAGGTGGAGAGGGCGTCGTCAGAATCAGTTTGATCAAAGGGACTACGTTCCCTGACAAGCACAGCATCTTGATGACATCTTTAGCCCTGCGCGCCACCGTGGGCCGATCTCACAAGGTAAAAAAGTCAGACTCTGGGCGCCTACGTATACAGTGCCCCTCCCAGGAGTGCTCATACACTTTCAACGCCCAACCAGACCGCAGGGCAAGCGACGGCTTGTGGAAAGTGGGAAAACTCAATCTCACTCACTCACCTGCGACGCTATAAAGGGGAAACGCAAGCGCAAGTCCCTAGCCGTGTGCTAGTGTTTGATAATCTACGCGAGCGGCATGCGAACGTCCCGGAGGCTGCACACTGGAATCATCTGGACACAAAAGTGAGCATCGACTGTTTTTCATCATGCAACACTCCAAAACCAGTTTGTTGCTGCTGCTGCCCTTGCCTCTAAAGTAAACATTAACGTGGATTTGCAGATGCTGCTTATTGCCAGACAGATGAGCGCGTGGAGAGTTCCGAGTCAGGCAGGTCGGCCAAAGAAACGGCGGAGACAGGGGGTCGCAGCGCCTCAACGAAAGTCGCATTGCTCTGCTTGTGGTCAAGTTGGACACTACGCTACGACTTGCGAAGCCCCAGACACTGTGCACCTCTACCAGAAAGTCGTTCGGGAGTGAGGTGAAGAAAGGCGTACTTCACAAAAATTCCAAAATAAAAGGGGTGCGTAAGAAAAATTCTCAAAAATATACCAGCCTCAGTACGGAATCAGTCCAACTCCAGCACATTCTTGCCTCAGGAACTCCTTCTATTCCTACGCTCGTATACTTCCAGATGTCATCAGAGTACACTTTCGAGAATGGCGGCAGGGCAACAAAGACAAAAACATTGGTTTCGTTATCGCTGAATACAGTATGCACAGTATGCATTCCCGTCAATTTTATTAAAACTATGTTTTTCAGATTGATCCATGAACGTTGTCCGTAAAGTCATGAAAACGCGTGTTTAGCCAGCGAGTTTGCTCGGATTTTCTGAACGCAAATCTTTCAAACAACGCGTTTGGCAAAACTCACAGCATACCGAAAACTCGGGGCATGTGAGTTTTCCACGAGTTTCACATCCGTGATCACAGCAGTGCCAGATCGACCCCTCGTGAAGAAAAACCAAGTTTGTCTTCCGTTCTTTTCATCAGCACAAACGAGTTTCAGACGGCACGGGTCGTATCAATATGCGTCATGTACGCCCCTATTGTGAAAAAACTGAGGAAAAATACTGGAAAAGTAAGAGAAAAATTCAGCACCGACGGACGGTACCCTTTTACTCACCCCTATCTTCCGACGAACGGAACTTTGACTTGTAGGATGGTTTAGATTATTCTCTCTGTGTGCTGCTTCCTTTTTCCTCTATTAGGAAAAGGGGAGCTGCTTTTATACTACCCCGACACACCCGATGAGATTCTTAATACTCCTCGTGAGGATGACTTCGTCGCACCTCAAAAAGGAGATCGATGAAGTCCGTAAAAAGAAAGGTCAAATATAGAAGTGTGTGGCCAAAAGACCATTCCCTTGCCAATAAACTGCACATGCAGTAACAATGCTCCCGTAACATGTTGATGCCACACTTGTATGGTCTTCTACTTTTCAACACCTATCGCTTCATCAACGACGTGCATCATAATCGCGAACGATAATGTCGAGAAGCGCTTCCATCTCAGGAAACCAGGCGTTGGCTTGTCTATCATAAAATTTCGTATCTGAGTTGACTGCGTGGGGTATGTCATAGTCTTGAAGTGTCCGGCTCATAAACTCTGCGAAGACCTGTTGCTCTGCAATCGTATAATCACCACCCGTGGGATATCCCTCGGAACTACCGCCCCCGTCTTTGTTGTAGTTGCTCGCCATCCATGCCCCGACCCATGTCGGAATGCCTTTTACCACTGACCACTCGTGTGCAACGCGTACTTTTTCCAGTACGAGCTCTTGTTCAGAATTAGTACCAGTCGTCCATTGACGTCTTGGATTGTCCCTCTGTGGACCTGCGGCATAGAAATGCCATTCAACCATTACATACTCGTCATCTGGGACCACCAGATCTTTTAGTTCGAAAGGGCTTGATATTTTGTTTGGTGCGATGATCAAGATGCGGTGTTCGTCTGTAGCACGGATAGCGTCTGTTATGTTTTGATAGAGTTCATTCAACCGATCGTTGTGGAACCTGACATCTTCTGTGGTCTCGATAATTAGATTGTACGATAGGCGATAATCCCTAGCCTCTAGCCTCGTTGCTACACTCTGCCACCAGTTGACAACACGAATAGCCTCCGCTTCGCTTGTTGGGTCAGTCTTGAACCCCTCAGCCTGAAAAGCGACAATTGGAATGAGGTCTGCGGCCAGGCATTCGTCGACCAGTTTCTCGATCTCATCGAGCAGATTCATGCCTGTCTTTTCATGAGCGGCTGTCAAATCGTATTCTGCAACTCGTATTCTCACATGGCTCAGGCCCCGTTCTTTGAAGATGAGAGGTACGTTTACACTACTGTTTCGAGACTTGACGGCATACTTTCGACCATGGTTCGTCTTTGCCCAGTCGACGTCCATCCCAACTTGGAGCATAGTTTGGTACTCATCCCGTGAGTAGATCGCCCTTTGTGCGCTGGAAATGTGCAACATGATTTGATACGAATTATGAAGGAGGATAAAAAGGTCTGCTTCAAAAGTTTGTACGGCAGCGTGTTTCAGTGAAGCCGGGGGGTTAGGTACAAGGCAATGAGTGGGGGACTACAAGTTCTGGATTGCAGAATCGGCCCAAAAAGTTCACATGCTGTCAATCTGGTCCCGAGACAAACAAAGAGAGTTAGAGAAAGATGAAGTTTACTCGGGCTACCAGACCGCGCTCACCCTTGTAGATCCCGGCTAACGCCGAGACCACGTAGTGGTCATTAGTTTCGTCCGACACCGCCCTCCTTCGTCACACCCATTAGGCCCTGCCGCTTCTGTGGCGGCAGGGGCCGCCAGCGCCGGAGCCTCGGCCGCACGCCGAGGGGCGAGCAAAGTAGAGAACGACTCTTAGACTTTGCTATATTCCGACAACCCGGGAGGGCGCGAGGTCACAGAGCGGCCGTCGTCGCCGACTTAATAGAGCACCGGGGTGCCAACCGTAGTTCAGTATCCTTAGTATCCTTCCCTTATCATACCTCAACCATCGCCACATCGACACATGCACGGTATAAAGTATACAAACAATCGGTCGAGGAGAGGAGACATAGGGCAAGGTGTATTTGTTAGATATTTTTAGGGAAAAATTACATTTTACTGTAGAGGGAGATTTTATTCTGTAGTCCGAGATTTATTTGAATTTTAGAGAAGCGCACGCGGACGGCCCGGCGGAATCCGGGCCGGACGCGTGGACGCTTCTCTTGTTCTGGAAGGAATTTCGTAGAAATAAAAGAGAGAGGGTGACGGGCGCTGCGGGGAAAAAGGGAGAAGAGACTGGCCGACCCTCACCACGGAACGGCACGCTCCCCAAAACCGCCTCCCCCATATCACCAACAACAGTATTCATTCTCTATGTGACAGTATTCCCTTGTATTCACATCGCAGGATTACGGAATAGAAAAGACTTTCATTGTATTCTTGCGCATTCATGCTGATTTCTGATGCTCTTGGACCGTTAAGTGTTTAAAGTTTTACATTTACTCACGCGATTGCATGTACCACTCGGTACATGCAATGGCGTGAGTAAATGGAAGGGTACTGCTCAGACGGCAGGGATTACTGTAGACGACAAGGATGTGAACGAGCGGTTGCTTAATTGGTATCACTAGGCACTGCAGTGACGTTTCGGTCGTGGTACAGCACAGTACATCAAGTGCTGCATGAAACCTGAAGGGTATACTTCTTAAAGAAGCAAGTTGAAGTTTGTTCATAAAGCGACGAGAGGAGAATGTTTTCGAGGCGAAGATTAAATAAGAGCATTGTCGTCATCGCTTCCTCCGACCGCTTTTTCGTGGATACAAGGTGAAGGTTTTGTGTTCTGTAGTGTATTTGAGGAAGTCATGTGTTTTGGTGGACGAAAGTGTCTGAAGGACTCGGTGTACTGTACAGTAACATTACTGTGAAGGCCAAGAACAATTCTCAATCAGACAAGCGCTATTTCGTGTACCCTCCGTAGCTCTTTGAAACTCCGCTCCGGCTCGATGTCGACACGCGGACTGTGTGCTGTGCAGCATCTCGCCATACTGTACATGTCCCGAGAGTGGATTGCACACACAACATACTTGTACATCACACAATGCAAGACTGCTGAAACTGCCCCCGTGCCTGCCTCTCCGTGTTTCTGTTCAACCAGAAAGAGCCAAGTCATGTCACCGCACCAATAGCAAGGACGCATTTCTGGCCCTGTCTACCGTAGATGGTGGTACTACTGTACAGCATGAACCTGACACACTGGGGAGGCAACCATTTCGCAACAGCCGCAACAGCCGCAACAGCCGTGTGGAAACTCGCAACCCTTCCAAGTGCATACAACATGGAGAGCCTTGCTCCATACCCTTCCGTGCACGGACTCGACGGACTCGATTGATCGCCACCAGCGACACGTCCACAGTGTCGAAACAGAGGCCATCCATTCCATATTCAAAGGCGTTCCACAACTTTCTTTGTCCACGGCGCAACGTCTTTGCCCACGGCGCAACTTCTTTGCACACGGCAACGTCACATGGCACAGAAGCGGCGATTGTTCATCATCAGATGGCGAAACCGGTTTGAATAGACTATCGAGGGCAATTCAGTTGCAATGAATGCATTGGGGCCGTGAAACTTTCTGCGGCGTGTCCCTCATAAAATGCATGAATGAAGGTCAAGGCCGGCACACGTACGGGACACATGACATAGCGCAGCAATGCGCTGGGCGCTGGAAGACACGGTCTCGGCACACGTTGACTGGAGGTTGTCTACTTGGGATATTTTGCAGAGTGTCTGTGCTGACGCCCGCATAGTTGGACAGGCGTTTTACTTACTGTAGGTCTGCAGATTGGGCATGGCCAAACATGGCGGCGCTTCGGTTACACGTACGGTTTCACGACTCCAGTGCGAATGTATGAATGAGGGAAGGTGTAGGTAAACATCTGGCTAGGAGACGGCTGGAAATCACGAGCGGGTGCAATATGACCGGACGATATCTGAGGGCAGGGTGAAGTGATTTCTGGCGGTGATGAGGTTGGCTGTCCTTGGCTATACACTGCACCCTTTGACGGTACAGTTTATACTGTGCATGTTGTATTCCCTTTGACGAAGTCACAGAAAGTGGGAGGGAATGCAACAACGGAGAAGGGGCATCGGAAAAGCGTTGCTCTTCTAGAATGAAGTGTAGACATTGGAGCGATCATGTATTGTTATATGCACTACAGTACCCTTGGTAACCCTAGGCCAGTCTCGTATGCGACTGGATGTAGTGGTGATCCGCCAATGGGAGATGTGACACTGCTCTAGACGGTGTCTTGTGGTACGCTGAAGGGCACCCAGTGCGCAAGGGCGTGTGCGCCGTGGAAGGGAATGGACCAGGCGGCGTTGCTATTTTCACCGGGCCTGTTACAAGACTTGACTTGCGGAAGCTCCAGGATTGCCATCGTATGGGGCCCGAAACGGGGAAGCAGGGAGGGATTCTCTGAGCACTCGGCAGCGAGGCCGGAGAAAAGCGTGTGGTGTGTGTGTATGGGTGTGAAAGGGGATACTCTGAGATACTGAGAACGTCAACAGGGAACGACAGGGACTGGTGGTGTTGGGATTCCTTGGGTGGGCTTTCCTCGAGTGGGCTCCCTTGAGTGGGCTTCCTTGGGCACACGTGTTGGTGCACAAGGAGCATGTTGTATGTAAAAATTAGTAAGACAGAGACGGACACTAGAACTCTGCGCAGTTGTTGTCAAACAAGATGGGGATTTCCATAGCGGGTGGAAGTGAGCGTTCGCGAGTCGCAGTGCCGCGGCTCACTTACCGGTCCGGAGCACGCACGCCAGTCGGGGCGGCCGTGGAGTTGCCGAGGTATGTACTACATACTATGTAGAGGCAGGAGGGCGAGGGGGACTGACTGGTGCCCCGGTAGCATAAAGCGCAGTGTAATGGGGTGGTCCCACCCAGCTCCTGGGAGCTGGGACCAGGAGCATGCCATCCCACCATGAGCGCGATGGTCACTGGTATTAAATAAATACCTACCTATTATTATTAGCAGGGGTCCGATTATTAATATCTGCCCGCTTCGGGAGCAGATACCGATGCACTGCACAGGCAGACTGCGTCGAGTGTTGTAAATTTTACAATGCTTGCACAACGAGTGTTGCACAATGAGGCCCCCTGGGCCAGGGGGCGGCGCGAATGCACCATGTGAGCAACGGAGAGACGCGTGGGACGTTGTGCAGTACCTTGTGCAAGGGTACCCTTAGGGTACAGTAGCGCGTGTGACACGCCTGCCCCTCGCGCAGCATGCTTGCGCAGCACCCGCCATGCCTGTTTCATTTTCTCCATCCGTCCAAACCGCGCACTTTCCGCCGCGCCGCCTGAAATGCCGCCGCGCAGCCTCCCACCGAGCCGGTGCCGGGCGGCGCGTTGCGCTTGTGTCGTCAGCGGTGGCGAACGCTCGAAAACGGAAGCGGCGCCCCCCTGCGGGCGGCCTTGCTGCCGGCGGGCCAGGCGGGGGGCTTGTCGCGAGACACCCAGCGGC